TCCTGGGTCGGGAATCCCGGGTCCAAATCCGTCACCGTTTTCCTATCAGATCCTGGACCCACCCCCGAGATCCTGTGGTATGCCGCATGTATCCGATCGGGACCAATCGAAATAGCTCTGAAAATAGATCCGCCTTTCCTGTGTAGGTTTGCAAGAACCAGTTCTTCCTCCAGTAGTAGTGAGCACGTGTCCTTATACGATCCGTCCGTGCTTTCCGTGCCGTTCGTGAAACCGCACGTGGTCTAGCGATTGGTGAACGCCCCCGCCCCGGTTTGTTCGCGGCATCGTTCGTCTAACCTCACTTGACCCTGGCTCCTGACCTGAGCTGATCTGAGCTCCTCAACTGACTTGCCTGGTCCGGGCTCTCGACCTGACGTTACCCGATCCTTGCTCCTGACCTGACCTCACCAAAACCGCGCTCCTAACCTGGCCTCACCTGACCCGGGCTCCTGACCTGACTCTGGCTCTTGACCTGGGCCTGACCTGACCTGACCCGGGGCGGACTCCACCACCGCACACTCCGGCGTCGGGCAGGCCAGCCAGCGGTCCCGGCGGACAGCTGGCACGCCCTCACTACCGCACCCCTGCCGCTGAGGTCACCCCATTGGCTGACGTCCCGTCCGGCTTCAGCTGCTGTGACAGCTGTTCAAACGGCCCGTCTCGCCGGCCTTAGCCGGTTATCCGCATAATCCGTTGTACTACGGCCTTGCGTAGGTTTGTTCTCCTACGACTTCTAAGGTCCTATGTCGCGCAATGTAAGCTGCGCGTAATCGTCTTCAAAGTGCGGTCTTGCTGGGGATCTCAGGGGGGTGGTAAGACCGACTTGGCATGTCCTGACGCTGGGTGGCCCGGTACAGAATGGGCCCATTAAGTCGAGCACGCCAGCAGACGCCCCGGTGGAGAGGGCGGCGCGTCCACGGCGCGGTAATGAGAAGGCAGAGGGGCGGCCGAGCGACCGGCAATGCAAGAAGACAGCGGAGCGGATGGGAGGGGGGGGGGAGGAGCAGGGGAGGAGACAGCGGGGGTCTGAAGAACTCGGACTGGATCGATTCCGGCGAACTCGGGGTGGCGCCGATACCGGCGAGGCTTTAGAGGCGTGGCTCCGACTGTGTTGGGTTCTCACCTGCCTGGGTAATGCCTGGGCATCTGCAGACAATCCCGGGTTATCACCGGGTCGTTAGGGTCCCATTGTCACCACGCAACAACGCTGCTGCGGAGGTCCGCGGCGTGACTTACCACTCATCCAGCTGTGCAGGTGTGTTGTCTTCTGCCCGATTGCGTCTCACACGCTGCGCAGTGAAACCGCCGCGGGCAAAGATATGACGGGCGCGTTCTGGAAGCCCGCAGCGACTCCATGCATATTGCCCAGGTCAACTGCCCCGTTCTGAGTCCGTATGCTGGAACTGCCCCCAACGACGTTCTTAATGCTGGCGCGCAATAGACCACGGACTCAAGGCTAGCACACCTCGTACCTCCATGAGTCAGGCCTTAACAGTGCGACTTGTAATGGGCCATGGAATCCACGGCATCGATCAGCGCTGGCTAAGTTAATTTGAGCAGCGCTGTTTGCATAAAGAATGTAGGCGGCCTGGTGTGCGGACGTGGAATGACCAATTGATTGACCTTGCTTGCGGCAGGCGAATGAATGTTCCACCAGGGAGTGGTGGCGCTTGATGACAACAACAGTTACATTCTTCGATGAGCAATCCTGCAATTATGCTAAATAATGAAGAATGTGCACGAAAGTGGTGCCGATGAAAAACTGGGAAACACGTGCCGTTATGGTTAAATTTACCTTCGTGTTTACGATCGTTGTAACAGGATGTTTGCGGCGTGAAGGATTTCTGACGATACCGCACACAGCTAACGCCTTCAGGTCGTTTCACATGCAGCTCTCCTATCGTCTAGGCTTTTCAATGCTTGCAGGTCATGCAAAGAGCACCAGATCACAAGGACTTCCGCGCCGCGCTGCGCTCGCTACAGGAGTGCATCCAGTACCATTGTAGAGTTCGGTACAGTGTGCTATAAATTTCCGTCATCTTTCTTGTCCATGCCGCCTTTGACGACCGTTGTGGCAAGTACGACACACTAGTGGCATCCCCACGAGTACTTGCATATGCATTACAAAGGGTTGGTATCATTTCTATCAGTGCTAACTGCCACAAGTGCTATAAGTACCCACTTGCGCAACAAGTACCAGCGCCTATAACTATGTAGTTCAATGCGTGGTCATCGGAGCAATGTTAATGACCTTTCTTAGCCTCGTACAGCCTGGCGTTCGCTGTGTTGGCCTGTCCCTGCCACTTTCCTTTGCGCTACTTAGTATTGCAAGCCGGCTCGTCCTTAAAGCGTCTCAGATTAGGCCGGAGGAAGCCACTTTCCTATTACATGATCACCACAACCATGGCAGTATCCGCAGCACCATCAGGTCAGCTAAATTTACAAATTATAATATTCAGCCGAAGTTTTCTGAGGTGAAACGACGAACCCCATGGCCACTTTGAACTGAGTGTAGCACTCCGCCGATGCTCATGCTTTTGGTTCAGAGTGAAACACTGAGCGGGATGACTAAGGCCAGTTCCAAACCTCGAACCAACACCGCAGCTACATGGGGCAGTATACGGGGGAGCATGTTCATACTATGGGCCGTTCCGGTTTCCGTCGAAACTTGAAATGAATTGAAATCGTGGCGATTTAAAACGAAAAATGAAATGAAAAATGAAATGAAATCCCCTCGTGGTTCGACTCACTACCTCATCGACCTAGAGATTAACTGGCGTAGATGTGGGCTGGACGGCGTCGTGCGAGGCGTGACCCTCATAAGTCTGAGCTCCAGGGCGATTGAGCACCGAATCGTGCGACCGAACCTCGTGTTACGCTCGACTGGCAGCTATATCAGTCTCGATCTGAGGGCTCTTGTCAGCTCTTTGGTTCACAGCGACAGACAATCGCGTGGGGGAAAATGAGGAGTAGCTAGCTGGTCAGAAAGCGACTTTCGCGAGCTGACAAGTCCAGCGGCCGTCACCCATTGGCTTTCACACGTTCGAGGAGCGGCTCCGCCGTTTGTCGTAGTCGCTGTTCGCCTCCGAAGACGGCTCGCCACGGCTGACCGAGCAGTGTTGAACGCCTAGACTCGTTAACAAGCCGGGCGTGACTCGGAGGCGGGTCAGACGTCCCCCGGTCCCGCCAGCGGTGCGGACACTCGGCGGATGACCCTGACCCTGACCTTGCCAGGCCGGACCGGCCGGACCGACACTTTCACCCGCCGCTACCTCTCCCTCCCGCGCCCCATCCCGCCCTCCCCCCCCCCCCCAGCCAACGACACCTCCGCTGCGCGGATCCGTCTCGGGTTTTTACTGACCGTATCAGAACGGCGATTTGTGATGGGGGCTAGGGGATATGGGGCTTTTTGTGCGGAGGGCTATCCGGGACCATTACGTCCGGGCTCATGATTCAGCCAGCAGCAATTATATCTCAATCCTCGCGGCGGGAGATGCGACGACAAAAAGCGTGGATCGTGCAGACGGAGACTTGTGAAGTCTTACGCGGGTAGTGAGTTGCATTACGAGATGGCTTAAGCCCGCGGTATGAACAGAAGGCCGCTGCCGGGAGACGTTACAAGCTTTGTGCACCCTTCGTGAGAGTACTTTCGGTCCAACGAGCTGTCATTTTGGCCAGCGGCTGCCACTTCGTCAACGGCATCTGCTACTTCTACTACTACTACTACTTTGTCAACTTCGTCAACTATTTTGGAATGCAAGTTGGGTTTGTTCGCGGGCTATTTTTATGCATCGCTGTTGATGCTAATTTTCTGCGATGCTGTGCACAGAGTTGCACTCAGAGCTCCGCGCAACATTTTACGTCTGTCTTAATCACTTACCGCGCTGAAATGTATTTCTAGTTGCCGTTGTTTTGGCATGCAAACCTATGTTCTAACATGCAAGTAGGAAGCACCCGGATAACATTGCATCAGTCGCAGCGTTTAACCCC